GCTGCCTGGTGGATGAGGAAAAGGCTGTGAATATGTCTACCTAGACTTCAGCAAAGCCTTTGATACTATCTCCCACAGAATTCTCCTGGGAAAATTGGCAGCCCATGACTTGGACAGGTGTTTTCTAGTTTCTCTGTGTCTTTGTGAGAGAAACTTATATTTGATTGAAAATCTAGAACCATTCAGTCTTGGTCTGCATGTAGTGGACTTCTGTCACCTTCTACTTGAATGTGGGAAAGGTGAATCAAGTAGATTTCTTCCACTGTCATCTCCCTAACAATTTGAAAAATATGGGCTCCTACTTAGGGAGAAATATAATTTCTTTGCCATTGTCTCAACAGTTCAAAAGAAATGTAGCTGTCCACTCTTTCATGCATTCTCGAGTGCTAGAGAGCAACTTCATGACATCTCAGTTCAGCTTCCTGTGTGCCACACTTTAGCTCCCCTCCATAATCCCCCCAACCAGTTTTTCATCATGAACAGCCAGACAACAAGATTTTAAAGGAGAAACGAAGAGTGCAAGATTTTTGGCCCACCAGTTGGGACTTTCACAGAGTTTCCCCTGAAAACATGCTCAACATGTTGAAGAAGTTATGGACACTGAGGATTTATCACAGTCTGGGTTGAAAAGATCATTTCCAGTGTCTGAATCTTTGTAGTTCCAGATCTTACTGTAGTACCAGTTAGCAGTAAAAACATTACTGAGTTTTGTCCAGAACAAAACACTGTTTTCTTCTTATATGTTATGATATCAGCAGTTACCTCAGTGACCATAATCATGAATAATAATTTTAGTACTTTTTAATGTATATTGCAATACATCCTACGCATTAATTAACCATCATACGTCATTATCTCAGGCTGTCACTAGCAGATGAAAAATTGAAGCAATGAGTCATAGATTCACCCCTATTAAATGCTGGTGTAGTCATTTAAGTTAAAAACAGGTATCTGTTTCAGAGAGCAGAGAACTGGATTCTTCTAGAGGTGATACAGTCCTTAACTGGCCTGAACTGCAGTTCGGTACTTCAAAAGGATGAAAGGATGAAATTGGGCACTAAATATCAAGTCACTTGCCTGTCCTTTAATTCACAAAGCTCTGCAGAAGATATGTAGCTAATCTCATTGTCTTCCTTTTTCTTTCACAAGTCGTTCATTCAGAAGAAAAAGATTTAGCTATGGATGGGACAGTCTTATCAAAGCTGAGGCTTCCATATTGCAGTCAAGGTGTATTTTAATGATAGTCTCCCAAACCACAAGTTTGCAGAATCTAAAGTGACAATACATCTGGTAATGAAAAGTAAATCCCTTTTTACATCTAAAACTAATATGTAAGCAGGAAAAATAATTTTAAAAATGGCTTTTTAATTATTCTCCATAGTAACCTTTTAGGATCACCATATGTAACCCATTACCCAGTGATCTCACTTTAAATTTGGATGACACATTAAGGTCTTATCATTCTGGATTGCAAAGGGATGCATTAAAATGCCACGTATTTTACTATTTATGTTTCCTTGGCAGTTTAAAAAAACAACAACACCCCATGCAGTGATTAGTCGCTTAAAATAAAATAAAATGCAGATCAGAAATGTAACTGGATAGAAGTTTGCAAATTTCAGATCCGTTGGTTGCTGCCATCTTAGCATGAATTAAATCATCACTAAGACAATACCAGAAATACTGTCTTCTGTTTGCCATTAGGTTCCTTCATCTTCCACTTAACTTGTGATTATAGGCTGTAATGCCTGACATTAGTTAAGATTTTGGTCAATCTATACACCAATACTTGACGATAAGGTCCCTGGGTTAATCAGATGGAAATAATTTCTGGAAATTACAGATAGTCAAATTTGTATATGTAATCCAGTGATTATATTGCCAAGTTTTAGAACAGATGTCTGATGCTTTAGAAATCTCTTTATAGAAGAATTTTAATCGCCTCTGTTCAATAATGACATAGATTATTAAAACACAATTTTTGTGGTGACCTAATTAAAGCATTCTATCAAAAACAATCAAAGCAGCCAGTCTTTCATTGATGAGGTTTCCCAACCTCTAAATGCAGCCCTGATTAAAGCACAGCATGAAAAATGGATAAAATTATGATTTCTGCTTAGAAATTAGCCTTCAGCAGTTGTTAATAAAAGAAAATAGGAATTTACAAACCAACACATAAACTTTGTAAGTGTGGACTCTCTTCTATTGCCTTTTGCAGCAGGTAAACTGCACTGTTATAACTATCATCCTCAAAATGTTATTAAGTAATTCCAGAGTGAGAATTATATTGTATTTTAGTTTTGGAAGCCTAGGAGCTAGACCATGGGTCTCTTAATAACCTAGCTATGTGTTCCCTGGGTGACTAACCTAACTGTCTGTCCCCTGGGTGACTAACCCAGCTGTCTGTCTCCTGGGTAAGCTGTGATTCCCTTCAGCCCTGCCAGAATTCTGTTAAACACACTCTTTGTTTTTCTGCAGTTACAGAGTGTAGTTCTGAATGCTGCTACACAGTGGAGGATTCACAATGCATCTAGAAGCAGCAGTAATGTTTCCTTAGTCCTTTCAGATTTAGATTTATTGCCCGGTGACACAAAATAGGATTCTCCTCACGATGCTTCAGTAGAAGAGATCCTAGTCAATCCAAAAGATTGCTGTAAGCTGGCATTTAGACTCTGCCTTTCAGGCTTTTTTCTGAAGCTGTATTTTCTTACATTGATTATCATTGCTAATAAGCCTAAGAGAAATGGTGGTACCCAATTTACCTTGTCAATCCAATTAACAAAATATGGTAGAATATTTGAAAATTAATTTAGATTAAAGTAGCTCAATTTAGAAAATGAAAAATTCCAGTTCATGTAATGGATCTTACTTGACACAATTATGTATAGAATGTACCAATGGTTGTAGATAACACTGAATAACCTTTGTTCAATATTTCTTTCTCAATTTCATTCTCAAATTAGATAGTGATGAAAAGATTTTTCAAGGTCTATGACTAAATATTTTTAACCTTGTAGTAATACTTGCATTACAGCAGGTAAATCTTAGTTTAAAATACATTGTAGTTCTGAAATTTATCTATTCCATCTAGAAGGTGGCTAGGAAACTAAAAAGAAAATATATACTAGTGATGGAAAATCTGTCATCATTATTCTTTCCCAGAACATGTACCAGGTTCTTACACTTCAAAGATCTCGGAGCAATTTTACAGTCCTTCCTTCTTTCCTTCTGTCTGATGCTATTTTATGAATCTCAGTTTTTCTGTTCCTATGTAAACTGGGGTGTAAATTTACCACCAAAAGGGAGTGGCCTCATCCACACATCTTACTAGGGATGGACAGTATCACACACTGTTCCCCAAGTCATGAGCTAACACTATCTAAGACAGTGCTACCTGACATGGAAAATAACATCCCAGTCTGTGTGCTAGCACTTCAAGAGAAGGGACAAATGATGGCCAATGCTCAGGCCTATGCCTTCATTGTGCTTTATTTGCTCATATAGACATAGTCACTAAGGCTATATGAGCCCTGGAAAAAAAAAAAAAAAAAAAAGAACCTGAATGAGATAAACCGATTAATCTTTAGATCTGCAAGGGTTCGTTCGCTCCTTAAAACACATGGTGTCTGTATATTTGCTTCACAGTATTAAAAGAACAAGCATGTCTGTCTAATTTTTATTCTTCTCTCTCTTTTTTTTTTCTTTTTTTTTTTTTTAATTTTTAACTCACTGGTACTAGTTCTGTGTTTTTATTTTGGCACAGCTCTTACATTAACATGCTACGCTCCTAATATGATAAGAGATGGGTCTACCTGGAGCCTTGGAGAGTAGAGCAACAGTGAACCTCTGTAACTGAAATGCTAATCAACTCTTAAAACATCTAATATTTATAAAAACTAAAGAGAACAGTAACTAATTTAATTGGAAAATTAGAGCAATTGGAAAACTGGAATGAACAAGAACTAGATTTTGGTTTTGAGAGAGGCGATAATTTTTATTGAGTTTATATACAGCACTGAACCAAAAAAAAATTTGAACTTATTTGAACACAAAGAGAAATACAGCTGATGTGGCTGCACCCGTATCTTACATTATAAGTGAACAAAGAGGAACTGAACAGATTGTGCATGAGCTGCATGTTTACAAGATCCTCTCATATTGTTTAATTCTTCTGTGACATTTTGTATGGATATTTCATAAACCACCACACAATTGCAAGCTAGCTAACATCTCACTGAGAATTTTGTAAAAAAGTTCAAGGTCAAAAATAATTATTCTGCATGTATTTATTTTTTCTACAAGGTGGCTTCTCTTCTCACATAGATTTTAAAAGCTGCTTGTAAAACATCAGTGCAGTGTTCAGGAGGCACTCAAATTGCCAACTGGCCAAAAGTGTAGCTTTCTAACATCAGTTTTACATTAGACTTGAAAAATTTGTGTAATAGCATTTTTGTTTGGGGCTTGGTTTTCGTTTTTTCATGGAGAGGCAACCATACCAGTTTGTACTATAAATTAATAGAGAAGACCTTGAGAATCCAAACAGCATTCCCACTCTGGACTAATGGGAAAAAAGACAGCTAGAATAAAAATGTATGAACTTTCTGTCCATGTGTGCAAACTCAGCCCCTTTATGCCTTTGGTTAGTTCATAACATATTGAGGGGGGGGAAAAACAGGCTGTTTTTGGAGATAATCTTATTTCCATCCACTATCTCAGACACTTTAAACCCACACACTACAGTGTGCTGTATGACACCCCAAAGAAATAAACTAGATTGTCAAACCCTTGTACCTGCAGTCTACTTAGTTATTTCTGAAAATAAAGTAGCCCATATGAACAGAGCACTCTTGGGAATAATACATAATGGTCTACGTCTGACATCACCAGCTGTAGCTGACACACACACTCGAGTTGGAACAAGACAAGTAGCATGTAGTTCACTTGAAAAGCACTCAGAAGGAGGTGGTTACCTTGTCTGATGTCTTTTCTTGTGTTTTCAGGAAAAAGACTTGGATATCCCTGCATTCTGAACAAGCAACACAGAAAGAATGCACTAAGAGAAAAATGTTGCTGCACAGATATTCAGAATAATGAAGTATGTGATGGTTGTATTGCCATGGAACAGTAAGAAAAAAAAATCTTAAAAAATTTTCAGTAAGGCTTTTATCATTTGACTTTTGGTCACTACTTTACTGCTGTCCTTTAGCCCAGGTATTTTATTTCAATATATTGCATAATTATGCTTTTGTGATGTGCTTGTTTATCACTCTTAAAACTAAGTTCTGTACACAGTTATTTTGAGGAACAGTCAATTTCATTGGCATACTATAGGAAAAAGCTGAATTTTAAAATTTGAAGAAAAAGTATGGAATAGAAACTTCTGACTCATTTTTTTCACCTTTCTTCAGTAAAAACCTCTAAATATTTATGGACTGAAATGGGAAGGACAAGATCCAACGCCTCAAACTTTATTCTCTGAAAACTCTGGCCATTCTACTTTCTCACTGAAAAGCTTTATAAACATCCCAAACTTGAATCTTCCAGGGTATGACCTTTTTTAAATTTTTAGATTTACCTTTTTGAAAACTGTTCAGTATGAAGGACATAGTACAGGCTCTAAATGTAAGCTTTTGAGTCCTGATAACCCAAAAAAGTGACTATCAGGCCACTAATACTAATAAATGAATACTTACTTAGTTGTATTTTAAGGTTGATGCATTTTCTTACATATAGGCTCTACAAGTATGGAAACATCCTTAAAGTGGAAACATCAAATGAATGTTGGTAATATCTAGTGGTTCTCCTTCAACCTTATTGAAATAATTTTTATCACCTTTGATAAAATAGTGCACTAATATCAACTTTGCACTAATTTGATAAATTAGTGTCACTAATATGCAACCAATGTAATCCTTGACAACACCAGAAAAATATTATCAAATATAATTTGGATTAGTGTGAGAGAATATTTTTATAGAATGGAAAAACAGATCTATGAGTATGCTTTTCAAAGCTCTGTGTATACTCAATGACATAAGTGTAAATTTTCTGTGTAAAATTATTTGAATTTTTACTTATAGGAAAATCTGGTATCTTTACACTGAGTTTTTGGGGTTTGGTTGCTTTTATTTTTTTTCCTTCCTCTCTTTCTTTGCATATTTTTTACTAAGAAATAAAATTATAATAGTTAATTATTAGCAATATGCATATAATTAAGAAACTCCCACATTTAGTTGGAATTTAAGGAGATCATTAGCAGTAAAGTCACAATTTCTTGAAAGGACTAAAAAGTTTTGATGTCATACTTCAGCACTTTGTTGTATTAAATTTCAGTTCTCCAGACCAAAACAAGTTTTAGCTTTGAAATTTAAAACAGTCCATTAGATTAGGAAAAAAAAATCTTTGTAGTACTTTATGGAGTTCTTACTTTTATTTTTTCTTATTCTTGAGGCCCATGCAAGAATGTTAATGACCACAGGAGACCTGAAGAACTGGAAAATCTCCTTCAAGATCTCCAGTTAGCACCCTACATTTTAAAGTTCTGTTAGTAGGCCATCATGGTTTCCTAATGGCTAATAAATATATGAAAAATGATTGTAGCTATCCTGTATAATGACTTCAAAGGTTTTTATCTCTAGTGAACGGAGTCTTCTCAAGATGGATTTTTATAATCACTTTTCACATACATACATGGAAAAAATCTAGATCAAAACCCACTGAAATGATTTCGCCTACAATTGTAAGATGTTTGTATGATGTACAATATCTGTTTATCTGGGTATAGAACGATCCTTCCTCACACTTTTTCTTAAGTCTTGTAGATTGTGTACAGGAAAAGGTGTGCAATTAAGTTGTTAGGCCCTCTTCCCCAATGTTACTAATTCAAGTTCATTGAGAAGCAAATGGTGCATCTCTTTTTTTCTCTGTCCATGTTGCAAATGGTCTGTATAGCACCTGTGGACAAGTTTGGCATTTGTATCTATCTGCTGATACACACCCACGTAACATGTGCCTTGCACTACATAAATTACTAATAAATACTAGGTCAGGTTGACCAATAAATTCCAGCTGCTTTGTACAGACCTGCTCAATATAAACCAGCTGTATGTAAGTCTCATCTGGCTGATTCAGATTGATTTACAGTTATTTTGGCTTGGAAACACCACACAAATCAATCCATGTATATTGATGAGACTTGGTCAATACCTCTTCTGAAATCACATAAAATGCATAGGAAAATTTAACCTTTCAACAATTATTTTAAACATCCACTTTAAGAATCTGAATCTGAAGAGATAAGGTCACATTAGTAAAGATAGCCAGTAAAGGTTAACCATTTAAATCATACATCTGTAAGAAGTTAAAGTACGCTACAGCAATTAAACTCATGAGTATAGGTCAGCACTCCAATCCCGTGTCTGGTTTAATCTGATCTACAGAAAGGACAACTTTTGAACATTTTTTTTCCAGTGCAAGTTCAATGGGAAATGAAAATATCTTAAAAAAGGATGAAATCCATTTTGTTAACAAAACAAACTTCATCAGAAACAATCTTGCAAATGATCTGTAGCTTAAAAACTTATTTCTGCCTATTCCTGGAAAAAATCTTTGTAAGATCAGAGGCCTTTTAAAAACCAGAAATGTCCAACATCTGTTTCTGTGTTTCATGAAGGCAAGACAAAGATAAATTAATACCATATGTGGAGCAATATGATTCAAAAATCCAGATTTGTTGGAATTTCCAAAAATAGGTTTCCAGGTTTGTATAATAAATAAAATCAGAGATAAAGGATTTTTTTAGTACTTATCCTGAAAAGTTAAGAAATTCCTCAATCAAAAAATAGAAAAGTATGGTTTATACATAATACAAAATTTCTTTAACATTTCAGGAAGAGAATTGTGGTGTAAATTAAAAGAGTCTTAAAAGAATCATGCAATGAAAGTATTTAGACCAAATGATGTCTTAAAAGAATGAAGACAAAGTAGCATAAGAATATTGCTATTTGCCTTTGGCATTTGTATTTTTGTTTATTTTAGAAAGACCATAGCCTTTCAAAAACCTCTTCTGTCAGGAAAGATTACATCCTAGGAAGGTTATGTCCTAGGCTGTGGCTTGTAAATTTTTCTTTTCTTTTGCAGAGGAGTCTTTATTTGACTATTCCCATGAAGAAAGAGACAATTTACTTATAATGGGCTCCTGTCAGTTTTCATGAGCAATCAAGTTATAGGGTATAAACAAAAAAAAATTATGATGTCAAAAGTCTCTCAAGTTCCGTGGTGCAGTAGATACTGGATGTTTGAGATTGCTGACAAGCTGTTTTGTAGATCACTATCTTTGTAGCTTCACATTATGTCTTGGTGTATCACTGCTTTCCAGATACTTTGCTTCAAAGTTACCTCAGCCATTTATTTTTTATTAGCTTTACGTTCTTTCTGGATTTGTGTAGCCCAAATACTCTCCCAAGCAGGGGTTAGAATTTGCTCCCAGATATTTGTGGAGTAGGTTCATACCAAAGGGGGTAACCTCTTTCAGTGGTAAAGGTAGTTCAGGCTTAGCCTGTGCCTGAAAGAACACCATGAGCATCAACCACCAGCAGTGACTCTGTGTAATCCTAAATGTAATGCCTAGTTGCTGTAAGACATAAGAGGTGCAGAAGAAATTGGTTTTTTGATTTCTTTTAGCCACAGAGATTAAACAATCCAACTGAAAATGTTTACAGAATAAAGCAGTAACTAAAATATTGCAAAATTAAGGGAAAAGCCCAAGACTTTGTCATAAGTTTAATTGATTTTGAAATTTAATGACATTGTAGGTAAAGATAAAAATATTTAGTTCTCAAAAAACAGTGTGATTATTGGATATGCATCCTCCTATCAAAATAGTGTTCAAAACCAAAGTTCACACAGAAAAGCAAAACAAAAGCAAAACAAAACCAAAACAAAAAATACCCCAAGGAAACAAAAAAAAAAAAACCAAAAAAACAAGCAACCATCCAATCACAACAATAACAACAACTAAACTCCCATCATTTCCCACTAAAATAAACTAAGAAAATGGCCCCCCACCACCATCCTGTTATGTTGCTAACAGTCCCATGGGGTCACTGCCACTGTGTTTCAGCTAGACAAGTAAAAGATAAGTGATTTTCACACCATATTGGTTTTCAAAGTGTTGCTCACAGGCTAGGGAAGAATGAAGATCATGCTCTAGACACCTTGAGACTTCTGTAGGGCTAGATTAAACCTTTTCACCAGAAATAAAGCAAATAAGTCTTGCTCAAAAAGACTAGTTAGTTTCTAATGCTTTCCTCTCCGTTTTAAACAGAAGACCATGAAAAATGACAAAAAAAATTCATTAGACACAAGTGGATTTTAATCATTTGTAAAGTGTAAAATGTAGAGGAGAGCTGTAAAGCTTTTATTTCCTACCACTATGCCTTTCTGTATCTGTCCTGAAGGGTCTGCACATTATCTATTAAGTGACCCTGGGACTGGCTGAGTTGGGTAGAACACGGTGCTAATAGCATCAAGGTCACGGGTTTGGTCCCCACATGGGCCATTTGCTTGAGAGCTGGACTCAATGGTCCTTGTGGGTCCCTTCCCACTCAGAACATTCTGTGATTCTAGCCACTTGTATAATAATTTTGGACAAGAAGAGCTTAGGAGAATAATTAGTGGCAGAAAAGGCTCCGGAACCTTTCTCTTTCATTTCAAAGTGTTTTATTCCCAACAATAAGTATCTCCAGAGGTGTCAGTCTGGACTTACTCACAAGGTTGTACCTGAGAGTGTTACATGATCCTCCTTTTTGAGAACTTGATTAAATGAACTGTTCTCAAACGGTTTAAAGAAACACTTGGAAACAGTGTAAACACACATTGATGTTCACACAGTATGAACATTACTAGAATTCACCTGCCATAATACTTGATGTTGCACTGAAAATTTATCTTGAAATTGTTTTTTAAGCAGGCATCAAAATTATGTATTAAATTTTCATTTACAGGTGCTAGATGACTTTAATTTAAAATAATGCAGAAAGTAATTGCAAACAAACTCTAGATTCAGAGCTTGAGGATCAGACTGAATCTTCAAAGAAAAATCATATGGTTTGGTTTACTCTTAATATATAGGTTTTCAATGAATTTCTAAACTCTCATTTTGAGATGGAATTGCCCTTACTATGACCCTCTCTATCAGAAAAATGTTCATTTGCAGTGAAACATATGGTTTTCTGACTTTTGGAAACAAAATGAAAATTGAACTTTCTCTAGTCATATTTTATTTTAATTTTTGAACTTCAGAGATGTGGAAATCTCACAGGAAGTCCCCATTGGAACTTATGATACTACTTTTATTTGGGTTTTGGTTTGGGTTTTTTTTGTGTGTAGCTGAAAAATATTTAAAAATATTCCCTATATAAATTAGGAAAAATAAATGGGGAAAGTCAGATTTTATATGCAAAGTATAACATCAACGACTACTGATAGATCATATTAGGAATTTTTATCAGAATTGGGTGGATGTCTTGCTTTATGAAAAAGCAAGAGAGGATGATATGATACAATCAATATTTTGGAAGGTATTATTTTTGTTTAGCTTACATTTCATATGTAAATAATAGTACACTTACAATTTTTTCTTTCTGAGAAATGACTCTCAGTATCATCTGATTTTAAAACATTAAATTCTCATCGGCAGTTTGAGGAAGAAGTGAAATTTAAATCATTCAATTCAGAAGAGCAAAATATTTAATACACCAATCATGTAAATTAATGTATCTTAAGTGTGCTGTTTATAATAGTAATAATCCTAATGTCACAATGGACATCAGCACTAAAAATTTGCTCCTCTATCAAAAACCCTTAAAAAAGTAGGACACAAGGCAGTGTGGCTGCAGTGAGCAGTTGAATGCCATTGTGAGTCCTTTGCCTACGTGTCTAGCTTTTCCCCATCTGGAGGCTCCAGACTGCATCTATTGGTGTGATCTCTGAGACCAGCAATTTAGAAATGGTTATAAGGGGTAGAGTGAGTGACCCTATTTGCATCACAAAGGAAGTGCTAGGAAAGGTGAATCATTTTATATAACAAATGAGTCTTTTTTTATCACTTTGTGCTCCATTGTACCCTTGCAACTTTGACTTAGCCATCAAGTCTTTGCAAAAATAAAGACAGAAAAGAAAACCAAAATATTGAATAATCTCTTCTATTTTTTAGCTTTAAATAAAGAGCAGAAAAAAATAGTTGCAAAACTATAAATTCAAAGGTAATCACAATATGTTGTGGTGAAAAGCCCAAGTGCTTAATAAGAAAAAAACACATAAGAATAGAATCATATATATGGTGCATATATACTTAAGAGTCTTCTGTCAATCAAGAGAATTATTTCAGTAACTTTACTTTTCACTGAGGACCTGGACAATACCCTTCAGCTGGAAAAACAGCAGCGCTGGAACTTATGCTGCTGCTGCATACATGGACATCACAACATATGCGCACCTTTATCCACAATTAAATAGCTGCAAAGGACCTAATCTCATTCTACAGGGAGCAGCCATTAAAGCCTAACCTTCATTATCCAGGATAGGCATCTCC